TATTTCCTTTGTCTTCAGTCTGCATCCTTCCTCAAGTTCGTAATCATTCCTCTGCTGACACTATTTTTGTCCTTTTCATGTTTTTTATTCTTTAAGTTAAAACGTATTCACAAATTTTCATCCCTCCCTCCCCCTCCTCCTCATCATTATTATTAATTGTAGTAGTAATAGTACTAAATTTATTTTATCTTTTATTATGGTAAGGATTATAATATATTACTTTATTTAAAATATTATTTTTGTGATTATCATTAATAATGTTGTTCTATAACTACAATGAATATTATGTACAGAAGTCCACCCAAATTCGCGGGCGATACGTTCCAAGATAACCCGCGAATTTGGAAAAACCGCGAATTCTGGACGCAGTTAAATGCCTATAAATGCCATTTTTTATAGTTTAAACCCTAAATATGCCCCAAAACACTTTAATTTCAAACTCATCTTCATACATCACTCTTAAAAACAAAGAATGTAAAGATAAACCCGTATACAGTTCTGTACTTCTATGTCTCCCGCAGTGCTAGAATGAATACCGATGTTACCCCCATATGTACTGTAGTTCATGCAAACCCAGAACGATCGACACCACGCCTAACTCTTCTGTTGTTTTAAGTATCAGCTGTGCTATTTTCACAGTTATCATCACTAACAGTTATTTGATAACTCCCCTCTCTCTCTCCCTGTCTCAAGACGCTGTCATCTTGACAGGTTTGAACCTTATCGACACACCAGGTTCATTAAGGCTGCATGCCACCTATTCACTACCAATCAATAATACTTTAATTTCAAATACGGCCGAACTGGTATTGAAGTAAACTCTAGATGTGTATAAACTAAGACATATACACGTACAGTTGCTGTTTGTCTCGGTGCAGTCTTCAAAAATGATACACTCATCAGAAGATATCTTGAATACTTCCCCTTGAATATATTATTAAGTAGTCTCCTCCGCCTTCTCGGATCTTCTTACGTAAATGCATGTCGTAGTCGTATTTCACTGGTGCTGTCTTGCTCTTTTCCAGCGGGAGACTGAGGCGGCAGTAAGGATCATTATTCACTTCTGTCTTTTCCACGAAGGCCATTGTATATATTCTGATGAGTATATCTCCCTTGATATGTGCGCGCTGAGAGTAACCATGCATGTAGACGTAGAGGGATGTATTCTCAGTCTATGTACACGTGTAGTTTACTTTAATTCCAAAACGTCAACATTTTAATTCTTCTTCTTTGGTGGTAAATATGTGATACGTAGCCTTAATGACTCGTGCGTCGATAGACTAAGCTTATATGACCAACCAACCTAACCAACCTGCTTTATACTGTACTCCTTATCCTGTTAGGTAAGACACATATGCAACAGTTAGGTATCTTTATTTCGAAACGTTTCGCCTACACAGTAGGCTTCTTCAGTCGAGTACAGAAAAGTTGATAGAAGCAGAAGAGACTTGAAGACGATGTAATCAGTCCATCGCCCTTAAAGTTTTGAGGTGGTCAGTCCCTCAGTCTGGAGAAGAGCATTGTTCCATAGTCTGAAACAATATGGAGATGAAGTGACAGGATGGAGCCTTATATAGCGCCAGGAGGTGAGACGTAGGATTTGAGAGGGACCTGACCTCCCAACATCTGCGTTCTTACTTCTACTAGTGACCTACGTCTCACCTCCTGGCGCTATATAAGGCTCCATCCTGTCACTTCAACTCCATATTGTTTCAGACTATGGAACAATGCTCTTCTCCAGAGTGAGGGACTGACCACCTCAAAACTTTAAGGGTGATGGACTGATTACATCGTCTTCAAGTCTCTTCTGCTTCTATCAACTTTTCTGTACTCGGCTGAAGAAGCCTACTGTGTAGGCGAAACGTTTCGAAATAAAGATACCTAACTGTTGCATATGTGTCTTACCTAACAACCTGTCGGTATTTTATACCATTTTAATGTTCACTCCTTATCCTACTACTGCTGCTCTCTCTCTCTCTCTCGCTTAGAAATTAATGTAACCTTGGCTGGTGGTTAATTGGTTTTCTACAGCCTTGATGAGCCTCGCGTAGGCGATAAGCTTTAACTTTAATAATCCAACTATTAAACATCTTTACCTAAAACTATATCCTTATTTGATGAATTCATGCTTTCACTGACAGCAAATACATAATTTTAACAGCTCTTACATTGTCAACTGAACTATTTTCAGATCTGTTCATGAGACCACTAAATTTTGGCAGTTTCCTCTCTGTTTCTGGTTTCTCCCGAAGTTTCACCCATCCGAATCCCTGACGAGGAGAGAAGACTTTCCAGTGTTCATGTCTCTGATAAAGAAGCAAAACACCACAATACAGACATGCGCTAATGCACAGATGAAGGAATAGGCTGGTTACTTTTGTTAGGCTTTGAAGGTTGTCCACTACACGACGGCCATTAAGACCGTAATTCGCCTGTACATCATTAGTCAAGAATACCGTATTCACCTTTTGGAATATATATACGCTCGGAGATATGCATATCCGAACGATATACCTCTCTCGGTGTATAAATACCCAGAGGTGTGTGTGTGTGTGTGTGTGTGTGTGTGTGAGTGTGAGTGTGTATTTGTGTGTGTGTGTGTGTGTGTGTGTGTGTTGGTGTATGTATGTTCTGTAGGTATTGTGTGACTGTTATTGTTGTGTTTGTGTGTGTATGTGTGTGTTGTGTTTGTGTTTGTGTGAGTGTGTTGGGGATTTGGTGTGTGTGTGTGTGTGTGGTTTTGTGAGGTTTGTGTGTGTGTAGGTGTGTTTTGTGTTGTGTATTTTGGTGTGTTA